AATCCCCAGTGTACTTCACCTGCCACCTAACCTTCATCTCAAGTCTCTGCTTTATATTCCAGGTTTTACTAGAATTCCTTACGTGTCTATCAGAAGTCCAGCTTTACACTTAGCTATGGTGATGTCTGAGCTTGTCACATCCTCTTCAGTCCTGTATTTGCAGTGCAACCTCTGGTGCTCCGCACCCTCCTGCCGTTTTTTTGTTTGTTTTTTGTTTTAAGCCACAAGGAACATGAAAAAGGGAGTGCGGGATATCTGTGTTCAGTGTTCCAGAAAAGCCCACCTTCACCTCCTGGATTTGCTGAAGGGAGTAGAGTTTAGAGAATGGTGTGGTGACTCATGAATCAGATACTAAGAAAGACATTTAGGAGGAGGGTGTTTTAGGAAAGAATACCGACCTGGCCAAAGAGAGAGTGAGAGAAGACAAAGCCAGAACATGCCCACAGTCAGGACTATCTTCACCTGACAGAAGAATCATGGTGTGATAATTATGTGTGTATGGAGAGGGATAACTAATAGGGATGACAGATCATTTAAAATTGAGATTTCCAAAAATCTAGGATGGCACTGGGTATCAATGCTCTCCAGAAAACACAAATTGTCCCCAAACGCCTCCTCCTTCATCTGGGGATTCTGTGGCCTTTTCAGTGGAGACTATGGTCTTGTCTCCTTATTCACTCCTTATATCACATTGGCAAAAACAGATACAAAAGTCTCTAGTCTACTCCTAAGTACTAATGTATTCTGAAGGCAGAGCATGGGCAGCAAGACCAGACTTCTGGCCTAACACCTGCAATGTGTCAAATGAGCACAAAGACAGACTTAAAAGGCAAATAACAAACTGGGAAAAAATATTGGCAACATAAGTAACAATATTTTATAGTCTTTTTTTTTTTAAGATTTTATTTATTTATTTGAGAGAGAGCATGAGAGGGGGAGGGTCAGAGGGAGAAGCAGACTCCCTGCTGAGCAGGGAGCCTGATGTGGGACTCGATCCCGGGACTCCAGGATCATGACCTGAGCTGAAGGCAGTCGCTCAACCAACTGAGCCACCCAGGCGCCCCTTATATTATATTCTATAAAGAGTTCTAGCAAATGAGTGACATGAATATAAAGGATAAAAGTAGGCAATTCACAAAAGTGACATAAAAACAGGTTCCATGCGGGATGCCTGGGTGGCTCAGTGGTTAAGCATCATGATCCCAGGGTCCTCGGACTGAGTCCCGCATCAGGCTCCCTGCTCAGCGGGGAGCCTGCTTCTCCCTCTGCCTGCAGCTTCCCTTGCTTATGCTCTTCCTCCCTCTCTCTCTGACAAATAAGTAAATAAAATGCTTTTTTTTAAAGATTTGATTAGATTAAGATTTAAGATTTTAAGATTTGACTATCACTGGGTTGTTTTGTTTTTTAAGATTTGATTATTTCTGGATGTTTTAATTTTTTCATTTTGCTTATTTATGGTTTACTGTTTTTCTGTAATGAATGTCCATTTCTTTTATAATAATTTTAAAAACCGGGTAATTACATGAAAATAAAAGGATAGAAGTAAAGGCATTAATAATTCTGAATTCACTGGAATTAAACTGTAACTGATCATTAATAAATGAACAAATCATAAAGTGCTAGCATTTACCTTGAATTAATTAGATTTAGTTTTTCTGCCATCAGAAGTAATAAGGCCTAGAATAAAAAGTGACTTGAGTTATAGAAAAAAGTCACAATTCAGGCATTACCTGTCTTTGAACTGTGAAATCTGTACCTGTTAGGTTTTTATATTTGTGGGGCCTAGAAGACATTTGGAAGGATATCCACTAAATTTAAAAGCGGTCCCCTTCAGCAGGTGGGATTAGAGGAGGAAGGAAGGTAAGTTTTTCTTGACGCTAGTCTGTATTGTTTGACTTATTAGAACAAGCATGCAAAAATCTAAGTATCTTTACAAAGCATATTATGAATATTTAGAAATATGAACAGTATCTATGGTATGTTGAGAAAAAAAAATCAGAATGCAAAATATACTAGATCATGTATCTACATGTGAGAAAGGCCTGGGTGGGAATACTCTATCATGAAAATAGTTGTTCATTTATAGCTCATTTATTCCACAAATATTTGTTGAGCACCTACTAAGGGTCAGGCACTTGGGATATAGCAAGGAATCAAGTAGCCAAATATGGCTCCCCTCATGGAATTTATATTCTAGCAGGAGTAGACAGTAAGTAGCAAGCACAGTAAATATGTTAGTTGGTAAGTGAGTGCTGTGGAAAAACTGGAGCTGATTAACATAGACTAGCACTGCTGTGAGTGAGGAGGAGGGTTACACGGGTTGGTCAGGGAAGGCCTGACTGAGGTGACATTTGAGAAAAGGTTTGAAAGAGGTGAGGGAGTGAATTAGGCAAATATCTAGAAGAGCTTTATAAGCAGAGCGGACAGCCAGTGTCAAGGCCCTGAAATGGGTTCAAAGAAAACCAACGAAGGCAGTGTGGCTGAGTCAGAGATAAGCAGGGCAGTTAGTTGGTGTTGGGCTCTGTAAGGAGTTTGGCTTTTTACTCCAAGTAAACTGGGCAACCACTGTGTGGTTTTAAGTGGAGAAGTGCCGGGATCCCTTTGGCTGTTGTATGGACATTAGGCTTTTGGGGGAGGGGCAGGCAGTATTGCAGAGACCTGGTTGTTTGGGTGAGGGATGCAGGGTGCTGTGGGGATGCTGAGGTGTTGGATACTAGATATAGTTTGAATGCAGAGTCAACAAAATTTCCCAATTGGGTAGAGGATGTGAGAGAAGTGTATGAGGATGGCTCTTAAGGTTTAGGCCTGAGTGAAGGAAGTGGAGTTGCCATTAACTCAGATGAGAAAGACAGCTGGATGGAGGTTTGAGCTGGGGAAAGAACTTATTTGTGGACCTGTTATGTTTGAGTGTAATAGCAATATAAACTCTGTTTTAAGAATGTTTCTAATATTATGATGACATCTTTCCAAATAAATCATTTCAAGACTCCTGATTCAGCAATTATTACGTTCCCAGTACTGAAAATATGCGTTAGTCACTGCTAGTAATCTGGAGAAATCATGGGAACGGAAGATATGCCAGAAAACTGGAGCCTAGATTCCAGTTTTCAAAAACGGGGAAAAAACCGAGGGCTGCAAATCCGTCCACAGTCCTGGCAATATTCTGGAACATGTGAACTCCAAAAATCAGTTATAGCTCCTCTTGGATTCAGCTTGGAGTTGAGCAAGTCAGACCAATATACGTAGTAGGAAAAACCCAGGCTTTCCTTCATGTCTTCTTTCCTATTCTATAGAACTCTTCACTTCTGATAACTTCTGACACCAAATATGTGAGGTTTTTTTCCCCCCAACCTAGCCATTTTCTCTGACACCAGCTGGTTGTCTCACAATTTAACTCAATTCTGACACTATCTACCTGGAGATAGCTAGCATCAGATCCCCCAGTCCCAAGAGACTGACCACACTTCAGATACCAATCACATGTAGCGGGTCCCCAAGTTACCCACAACTTCTGTCTGACTTGGCTCCTCCCCTTGGATTTGATTATTTGCTAGAGCAGCTCACAGAACTCAGGAAAGCACTTATTTACAGTCACCAATTTATTAAAGGACATAATAAAGGATACAGATGAACAGCCAGATGAAGGGATACAAGAGGGTGGGGTGTGGGAGGGTGCCAAGTACAAGAGCTTGGAACCAATGCAACCACAGCCAACGACCAAATATTAGAACAGAAGATGCTCCTAGTGCTCTTATCACTCAGGAAATTCCGAGGGTTTTAGGAACTTTGCGCCAGGAATGAAATGAAGACCAAATATACACATTCCTTCTTATAAATCGTAACATCTCATAAGGTAGGCCAGAAGACTGAAGCCTAGGTTACCGTTTTCAGAAAGGAGGTAAAAACAGAGGCTGCCATTCCGTTCACAGTCTTGGCAAGAGTCTAGGGCATGTCATTAAGGGGAGGACACACGAACTCCAAAAACGAGCAGTAGCTCCTCTTGGATTCAAGTTGCACTCAAGAGCAAGTCAGGCCAAAATATTTAGAAAAAAAGGGGGGGCGGGGCCATTTTGGGACTTGCAAGTCCGCCGCAGGAGTGGGAAGGTTTCTTCGGACAGGTCTCGGGCGGCAGCCCCGGGCGGTGCTGCAGGCCGGGGGCTGGGGGCCGCTGCACCGCCCTCCGGCCCCTACGGGCAGGCTGCCTGCTGCTCGGGGCTGCGGACCAGGCATCAGCGCCGCGCGCACGGATGCTCGTGGAGCGCGTAGCACGGCGGCTACAGCGAGCACAGAAGGCGGGGGGGGGGCGTTCATTCTGGAGCGCTCTTACCCTGTCCCTTCTCTTTCCTCACCCAAGGAAACGTCCTGCTGGACGAGGGAAGCCGCGAGGAAAAGTAAGCGATGAACACAGTGAAACTTCCCTCCGGTTCCGCGACGGCGCTGCCGGCACAGGAACGGTTAACGCAGGCCTCGGCGCTTCCCGCACTGTGTCTCGCCGGGGGGACCCACAGCCGCAGGGCCGAGCTGCCGGGGCCTCGGGCAGCACCGGGTCCGCCGGCGGTTGCTAGGCGACCGGAGG